CAATTTGGCTCTGATGATCCAGAATATCTAACAGCGTGCAAAGCATTTGTGACTTGGGTAAGGGTGCTTACAGAGCCGTGGTAGGAAGTTCATAGCAGAGGATTTTAATATTTTGAAATAAAGCCACATCCTTTGGCAAAGAACCTTTTTTTTTTTTAATGGAAAACCCAGTGATCACATGACCAGTCTTCCCGTGAGGAACTGGGTGTTGTATGGATCCATTCATCCACAAAGTTGGCCTAAGTGGAAGTAGTACACTATATAGCATATTGAGTCTGAGCAAGTTGTGATGATCCAAGATGCACTGGTAGGTGAGTCACACCCCCAAAGCACCTACTCCTGTTACACGTCTCCTTCAACACACACGTAGACCCTCAGGGGGAGTTTTTTTTTTTTTTTTAAGGGAAGGTTCCACATGATATGCAAGCTCCATCAATATTGGATTTCTCCAGCATTACAGATTCACTAAGAGGTGGGGGAACAACAATTCTCCCAATGGTTAGAACTTGAAACGATTCCTCTGGTTGTTCAGTTTGTATAGAAAGAGAGAAATCAAAAGTATGGATCTATATAACCAGACACTTAAGAGCCTTGGAAAAAGGAACAGGTGATTGGTTTCATGGAGGTCTAGGGAACAGGTTATGTGTCTAGACCTCCTGCAGTGGACCGGGGTGTGATGCATCTGTGAGGACTGTAGTAGCTTGTCATTTTTCCCCTTGCTGTTCATGTATCATTTACAAATATTAACCACTTTTCTTTTTATTCCCTCATCTTTGCCTTCAATGTTGAATGAAGGGTTTTGCGGGGCATGATTAACTTTACAAGTCAGCCCATAGGTAGTGGGGACATCAAGACCGGATTGTGACTGAGCTGAAGGGAAAATGAGCATTGCCCAGAGATGGATGCAGAGAAGTACTGCTCTCCCTTTAGGGACAGGGCAAGTGCATTTGAACGTTAGGGAAGGCCTGGTGTTACCGTTCTCATTTGGTAGCTTACATTTGGGAAGAAGAGACCATACGGATCTTTAACCACCAAAGGGGTGGCCCACCGAGGACAAGGTGGATTAGGGCTCAGCAGCCATTCCATCCTCCTTTTCATATACCTTCCTCTCCTGCAGAGGTGGGAATGCCACAGACTCATTTTTCAGACTTCCTTGAAGCAAAATTCAGGATCTAACTTAGCTTCTCACTAGACGCTTGCATGGTTCGCCTCTGGGTTCCACTGTTCCTACTGGCAAGCCTGGCCCAGGAGCCATTGAGCACTTCTTCCACAGGGTTCACCGAGGTATCAGTGTGTGGTCACTAGCCTTGTGGGTGTCAAAGGAGGGCATCTGTCTTGCTGGTGCCACGGCCATGGAGACTTCCTGTTGGCGGGCTTCCTGATGGTGGCAGACTCCTGATGGTGGCCGAGGTGTGTGGCTCCCAAGCAGGCAGCCACGACTGTGCAGGCGTTTCCTGGGGCACAAGAGGCAAGCAACTTCTGCCATGGCCCAATTCTGTGTGGGGAGTCGCTCCTGAAGCTCAGCCTCAAGTATTTTCCTCAACCCTAAAACCAAGTCTGGAAGCCACTTATCACCCTAGAATAAATTTCTTTCTGCCTAGACTCTCTACAGTGGATTCTGATGTCTGCCAGGGAAACACGAGTGATAAAAAACAAACAAACAAACCTTCCCATCTAGGTCTTACGTCTTTAGCATGTGTCAGAATTCCCCACTTTTTCATATTTTTTTCTATATGGTAGGTCTCACAATCTTATATATATTTAAAAATCATCTCTCTCGTGGTGTTGTCTATGTCATGACTAATTTTATGAATATCATTCAACTGTTAGCTCTAGTTTTCATTCTACTCTATCACCTTCGGAGCCCAGTGAGCCCATGCTGTGCCTTAGCTTTCCAGGATACCGATGTGCGCCCCCCTCCAGCTGCTAGCGCATGCTCTGGACTTTTCCCTTCTCCTTGCACCTTTCCCCTCCTTCATCGGAATGTCTGTTTTATGTCCTGTCAGAACACTGTCTATCTATGGAGAGTTTAATGAACTAATTTGGTGACAGTGGAAACAATATTTTAATATTGATAATAATAACAATGGTGATGCCCACTGCAGACATGCATGAGCATTCACTACATGCCAAGCACGTTACAAGAATTATGCCTTTAATCCTTAAAAATCCTCAAATCCAATGAGCTAATTGCTGTTATCTCCATTTTACAGATGAGAAAACTGAGCCCAGAGAGGTTAAGAAAAACTTGATTAAAGTCACACAGCTTGGAAGCATTAGAACCAAGACCTGAGTCCTGGCCTGGGTTCAGAGTCTTATCTACTAACTCCTATGCTACATGGCCTCTTTAAATCCAAAGGAATGATCTGAGAATATTAGGTGGCCTTGCAGCTTGATGGGAGGAAATATTTTAAGATGTCAGGATGGGGAAATCTTCCAGCAACAGAAGCATGAATTTTTTACTGAGATCAGGAGAGCTAAACTAAGACATTAAGCACTAAACAAGAACATTCCACATTTTGTGGTAACACAGTCATTTCTGGAGTAACAAGATAAGCATTTTGGTTTATTTCGTTGCATAAGAAATGAAACTGGAAAACATGAATATTTAAAGAAGGATAAAGGTATATAGGTAAATGAGCAAAAGTAGAGGAATCTGGAAAATGGAGAAAGGTTAGTTTATTCGTATGATAAAATATTTCATTAAGGAGTCCATATTATGATAAGCCTCTAAAAGATTAAAATAGTGTAGATAAAACAGTAAATCGAGTTTAATGCAGGATTAGATAAGAGGCTGGTAGTCGGTAGTAACGATGAGATGTGCAAAGCATAAGGTCACTGATTATTTGGAAAAGAGGAAAAGGTGAACGTGCAGAATGGATCTGGTGTTTGATAAATACAGGTACCCCCGCTTTTCAAAAGTTCACATTACGCCACTTCACTTTTGCAAAAGATCTACATTAGTACCTGTTTTTGTTAACTGAAAGAAATCAGAAGATGATTTCCACTTTTACCAAAGGGGAAAAAAAAAAAAAGTGAAAATACCTTTCAATGTTTTGCTGCAAACTGTTATGTGGGCAGCGGACACCCCCAGCGGTGAGAGGGGCCCCATCAAGCTCTTTCCCTGGAAATCACATTCAGCAGCCCAGCATTAAGCCCTCATAGTTTTGACCTCGGTCTGAGCATTTGTGCTTTGCTCCATTTATTTTATGCATCCGTTAGGGAGATGTGTCCTAAGGCATCAGAAAAGCCTACGAGAGGTTATTTTTTGGGTCTGGGAACACTCCAAAATTTCTCCATATAAATTAGCGGTAATTGCTTCTTTGTTTTATGCCATTTCGGCTTACAAAAGATTTCATACAAACACCCTACTTCGGGGGAAACCTGTATTCGGTTCCTGAGGAAACAATAACCATAAAAGAGAAGAGAGAAACCTCGTGGAACAACTGGAATGGTTGTATGGAGATCATTTCCACATTAGCAAATAATAGGAAAAATTTAGTGAGGTTCTTAACATTCCAATGTTATTAACAGAGTAGGGTACGCAATAAATCCTATGGGTTCCTCTGCTGTCTATTTAACCCTCCACAGTGGTTAATGAAGTCTAAAGAGTGAAGGTTTGGCTAACTCGTGTGTAACTAAACCTTTATCTACAGAGAACAACCAACCAGTTAAACAGCTCATCTGGTCAGTTCTATTTGCCACACCAGGCATATGTGGACCCTTATCAGTATCTTGTAATCAAGTTGGTTTGGGCTCATACAGATGAATAAGCTCTGTGTAAAAAAGTTTCGGAAAATGAATGAATAATCAGATGCTATGAAAACTACCAAGTTTTGGAAATGCTTCTATTTCCTTACAAAATTCATTGTTATTGTTTCTGCTATTGTAACATTGAAACTACCAAATCTGAAGCAGATAATCTTAGTGATTTGCCTGATGCACAAAAAAGTCATTTGGTACACATAGCTTTATAGGTTCTTTCTTTTCCCCCAAGAGTGCTAAGCATGAAACTATTATTTTCAGATCCCTCATTTAGCTTTCAGAATTTATCCTCTACTCTCCAACACGCAAATTAAAGGTTCCGTTTTGATACTGGGAAAAAACGATCCACGAGTAAGAGAATAGAAAGAGAGATATAAATTATATGAGCACTTGTCCCACCACAATCATATTTTCAAACTAAAAAGTATGTGAAAGCGATTTTCTAAGAGATTTAATACTCTGACAAAGAAGAAGTTCCAAGTGAGTGATCCTTTGGAGTGGAAAAAGGTTAGCTGTGAAAATGCTTGTGAAATATACTGTGGAGGATTCTCATTCTAAGATTATGGTCGTTCTTGCCTGCAGGTTCCAGTGTTGCTCAATCAGCAAGGTGCTCAATTCATAGTGATTGCTGCACATTTCCTTGTTGATCAAGAAAATGCATAATCTCAACCTAGACACATTTACCATAGAAATGAATGTAAGAAATAGGATTTTGATTTAAATTTTCCAGTTGCAGCAGATCGAGAAAAATATATGCAAGTGAAGATTCCATTTGAGAAGCTCTGATTCAAGTAAGTCCAAAGAGAATGCATCTCCATGTTCCTAATGCTGTCTTACTATTAGATAGCAAGCGTTTCTTGCCCAGAGCCCTTGTCAATTTGATTAAACTCACAGACACGTGACTGACTCCGCCTCTGTTAAAAATACTCTCAAGCCAGAGAATGACTGAGAACCGTGCGGCTTTGTCTTTGTGGGTCCTTTAGCTGAGCAATCATAATACTAGCTAGAGGGGTATATATGTTTAAATTTAATACCCCACAACTGAATTGTCCAAACGCAGCTCATTGCAGAGAGGGATTTAGAAGAATGCAAATTCAAGTCCAGAATCCAGAATACCCTTCCAGGCATGGACGTTGAGAGTTTAAAATGGCCCTCGAGAAACAGGATACTTAATTTCCAGTGCTGTTTTCACAGGCTGATTTTGGAGGCTGCTCCTTTTTGTGCATATTGTTTCCAAGATTAAAGATCCTTCAGGTGAGACACCGGAGGGAAAAGGTTGGGACTTTAGGCTGTATTTATTTGTGTGTGTGTATACCTCTCTTGCGTAGGGGAGAAAAAAGGTACGAGATTCCAAATCCAGAACAATTCACCCAGCCTTGACCGGACCGGGGTGACCAACTCCGTCCCCGCGAGACAAGCTGGAAAGTCTCCGGGCTGCCGAACGGCCCAGACGGCCGGGATGCGAGACACAGCCAACCGACCTTGAGGCCCGGCCACACTCGGAAGCAGCTGCGGGCCCCCGCGGCTTCCGGCGAGGCCGCGACTCGCGCTCGGAGGGAACGCAGGCGAGGCGGCGACGCCTCCCGGCCGCCCACGCGGGCCCCGCAGCTCGCGCTTCCCTCAGGCGCCGCCGGCGTCGGGCGCGGCGGCCGCGCTGCCATGGCAACGGCGGCCCGTCCCCGCTTCCGGGCGCCGGCGCGCCACGCCAGGCGGGATGGGGCGGGGCGGGAGTTGCTAGGAAACGGGCGGTGGGAGTCCGCCTCCGCGTCGCGCTCGCCCGGCTTCCGCCCTCCGTGGACTCCGGCGCCGCCGAGGGGGAGGAGGGGGCGGGCGCCACGTGCTGGCCGAGGGCCTCAGGGCCTCTCTCCTGCGGTGCGGGTCCTTCCGGCCGAGATGGCGTCCCCTTTCCCGTTGGCTTGCAAGTATTGTGTCCTGTGCCCTCGGAGGAAGAATGTGCGAAAGCCCTTGGGCATGGCCGCTCCCCGCACCGGCTTTACGAGGACAGTAACGCCCCCACGCTGCGCTGAGGGCTCTTGACCCGCTCTTCTCCCTCCCTCCCTCCGAGAGGAACCCTTTCTGGAGCTTTACCATGTCGAGGAGCATTGCCGAACACTTTGCCCACATGGACTCATTTTCAATCCTGTGAAGTAGGGACTAGTAACTTTATTTCGACGAAATGAAGAAAATGTGGCCAAGGTCATACGGCTGATTGGGGGCGCAGCCAGGATTTGAAGTCCAGTCTTGCTCAACTTCAAGGTCTCTGCTTTGTTATAATGCTCCAGTGTCCTCCCTCAGCTGCTTCATCATCCCTTTGCCTATCCACACGTACACACCGCACCAACTGGGCAGTGTCTAGAAATGGCCTGACAAGAGGATTGAAAAAATCAAGATTGGCCCCCAAATCTGGGACATACAGTATGCCCTCATATATCACTGCTAATTTACAAATGTCCTGGTCTGTAACTTACTACCACGATCCCCACTTAAGAGTTCAGATTCTTCTCAAGGAAGAAAATCTAAGATGGAGATTTGCCAAAACGGGTACTGACTCCCAGCAGGTATCCCATGCTGGCCTAGGTATGTGGGAGATTAAGAGATTTTTTTCCTTAGACAGTGTTTGTCCACAAAGAGTTTATATTCTGTTCAGGGACTGTCTGGGGTTGCCAAGGATTGTGGGCAAACAATGTATTAGGGAAGTGTTTCCGGGAGAAACTAGTAAGGGAGAAAGGGAAGCGGAATAGGGCAGGAGAAGAAGGCAAGCAAGGGAGCAATTTAAAGTCAAGATCCAGCCTCAGCTTGATCAAGCTCCCCAGGAAGGGAACTGGGTTTTTTAAACCCACATACCACACATGTGTCACCGGCTACAGGCCTTCCAGGAGGGGATGGAGGACATGATACCCAGCACTTCCTGTTCTGAGTGACTCTGCGTGAAGTGGCTCCTGTAAATTAAGGGAAGGCAGTTCTCTGAAGGAGGTTGGAGGTGTGAGCCATCAGGAGAGAAGTACCCAAAGGCTCGAGGATAGGTCCAGTGACCCAGTAAAGGGGATCTGTACCAAAAGCATTCACTGGAGTCCACCCTTTGTCCCACTCAGATTCATGTGCTTCTCACATTGAGTCTAGTCCATTTTGTCACAGCTTATTCAAGATTCTAATTGATCATGGATCTAATAGGACAAATCACAGCCCCTGCCACTGTAGCTGGTGCCAAGATTATAATGAATATCCATCATCCCTTTTCTCTATTGTCCATTCTAGATTCCCCTCATCCTCAACTAGCCCTCTGCCAGACTCGGTGGCTTGCCTGGCAGGGTGGCCCACATCTTCATCCTTCAGGGGTCTGAGCTCCTTACTGCTGTGTCTTTATCAGGTAGTAGCTGTTGCAATTGCCTGCTTTCAGTTAACAGTAGGCACGGAGAGCAGCCAGAGAGACTCCAGGGGATCAGCTGAGGTATTTTCCTCCAGGAACTAGAACCTCTAGACTCAATGTCCTAGAGTTAGGAGGATGGGAAGGGTGTATTGCCCAAAAAGTTCACTGGGAGTGATAGTGAACCAGACTACTCCTCTTTCCACCCCTTGGTTTCCAGACCCACGTATTCAACTCACTGGAGACGCAATGCAAAATAATGACTGTCGGTTTAAGGCACATATTGCATTCTGAAGGACGGGGCCCAATTTCACAGAGCATCATTTCTAAGTTAGTGCCTACCTATGCCTTCAGAATGTGGTTACGATATATCATGCTAGAAGCTTCTGAATGGTATATGGTGGGATCAGATTTCACAGTCATGTGCCCATTATCATACCTCCTTTGTCAAAAAATGGGCAGAAAATATTTTATGGGATCCTGTATCAGTATATCAGACATTTTGAATCTTCAAATAGTGGATCTTGCCAAGGCACTGCAGGCAGGAAAGGTGAATTCATACACTAATTTGTATCAATCCCAGTCCGAACAAAATGCTGTCACTTCCAGGGTGAGAGGACTTCACATCATTAACTTTCCACCAAGTCTCTGATTGCTGTCCTGAAGGAAGGGCACCCTACTGGGGACACAAAGTCGGTCTCTGTAGCTCACAGGTCAAACATCCGCAGTGGCAGCACTCAATCAGCTTTGGTGAGAAGGAGCCTGTGCTTTCTGACTCATGCATAGCCTCCGTCTCTGCCACAAAGCTACTACATTCATGGGCCTGTGCCTATCACACAGGAACTACAGGAGCTACGGACAAAGGCTGGCTGACATTTACCGGACAAGTCATCCTGCCCACCTGGTTGCTTAAAGCTTCTTCTGCAAGAAATGCTCTCTGGTAGGCACTAATGTGCAATACCAAGATCTTCACTCTATCTATCTCCTCACCTGGGGCCACCTCTCCCTTCATACCAATTGGATCACCAGGTGCAATGCCCAAAGCTCTGCCTATTACAGTTTATCCTCATTGGTCTCTTCAGAGCCCCCTTTGGTTGGGGGGATAGTTCATCAACTGTCCAGTTTCAGTTTGTACCAATGGACTGAGTCAGACTATCTGTGAACCAAACTGGGGATCTTTCTTCTATCAGCTGGCCATGGGGGATACCCATAGGTGTGAGCCAATAGAGATGCATTTGTGGGTAGCTCACATAGAGGTTTAGGTCTCCGTTTCGTGCAGTTTACTCCTATGTTGTGGACCTGCGCAAGCCCAGTTTCACCCACTTCCATAGTCCTTATGATTATTTCCTCTGTCTTTCTCAAAAGCTAGAGATACCATGCAAACCATGCGTCCCCTTCCATCTGGATCCCATCACAGTTTACCAAGAGTGAAAGTCTTAGTCACTGCAATGGTACAAAGATACAGGAGGCCACAATTAATAACAGGTATGAAAAAAGTTTTTTTTTTTTGCTTTCTTGATGCTTTATCATAGTACTAATTAGAGTTTTACTTGTACGTATGTCCTTAAATTTCAGTAAAATGAGATATTGTATGCAATTTAATATAAAAATATATTGAATTTCTAATGAATTTTAAAAAGTACAGAATGCCTCCTCCCATGAGGGATGGGATCCCCATTTTCATCTTGCTGGTGAATGAGCTACATCCAGAATCTTAAAGTCAGCTTCCTGGGACTACTTGTGGTAATAGTTGTCTCAAGCAGGTCCCCCAGATGCAGACCCCGAGGAGAGAATTTGTGTGCGAGTGATTAAGCAATTTACCCCCAGAGAAATTGTAAGGGAGTAGGAAAAACAGAATAGGGAAAAAAATTAGCCAGGCAAGGTTGTGATTTCAAGTAAAGTTCCAGATTCAGTCTGAACCCTTGAGAATAAATTCCCCAGTGGAGTTTATCCTACCTAAAAGTAGGGGATCCAGGTTGTTGTACTTCTGTACCAGTCAGTCAGGCCACCATAGGTATTTGTAACTTCCCAGGCTCTTTTGGTTCTAGAGGCATCTGAGTGAAGTGGTTCCAGGGGACCACAGATTAGCTTCCCGAAGAAAGTTACAGATAGGAACTTCTGGAGCAAAGCTTGTAGAAACTGGGGGATGGCTACACTGAACCAACAGGGAGGATTTGAGAGGATCTAGACAAGAGTCCCACAACCGCTAAAGAAACAAAAATTAATATATGAACAACTGACTTAAAGCTTCTGGTTACTGACAAGATGAGAAACTGAACCGAGCTTCTTTCCGCCTCCTCCCAGACTCAAACTCTGAAGAAACCACTGGAGAGATGTAGAGAGGCTGGGTTTCCATTAGCGTGTTGTTGGAGGGCATAGTGCATGACTCAGAGCATCAGAGAGAAGGGTGCTATGGAGAGTTTTGCTTCCCTCGCTGCCCTGAGCAGATCATTACCTTCTGTGATTAGGTTATATAAGATTGTGCCTTCCATCTTGCTAGCAGACTCTCTCTCTGTCGTGTCTTTGGATTGCATGCCTTCATGGCAAAGAACTGAGGGAGTCTCCTGCCAACAGCCAGAAAGGAACTGAGGCCCTTAGTCAAATAACCCTCAAGGAACTGAATTTTGCCAACATGCATTTGGAAGAGGATCGTTTCCCACTTGAGCCTTAACGTGAGAACCCAGCCCTGGCCAATACCTTGAGTGCAGCCTGTGTGAGAGCCTGAAAGAGGACCCAGCTAATCACATATAGATCCCTGACCCATGAGAACTGTGTGAAAACAAGTATATGTTGGTTTAAGCCACTAAGTTTGTGGCAATTTGTTATACAGCAATAGGTAACCGATGCTAGCACTCTGCAGCTGGTCTGTAGGCTTGAGCACATCTGCGCTGAGGATGGTTATCTGTGCAACAGGTTTTATCTATCTGCTGGAATGCCAGGCCCGCTTTTGGGGCCCCCTCCAGCAGCGAGGCTTTGCCCTGCACATAGTAGGCTCATAGTCAATGACTCCCAGGCAGGGGCTCCAGGCATTTATAATAACAAAAACTGACTGGGTTCTCACTGTGTGCCAGGCCTCGTTCGAGGCACTTTACAAATCTCAATTTATTTAATCCTCACAACAATCATTATCAGTTAGGCTCTAGTAGGATTTCCATTGCAGATGAGAAAAACGACTCTCGGAGAGGACACATAATTTGCCAAGGCAGTAACACCTGTGAGTGGCAGAGTTGGGATTTATGCCCTGGATGGTCTGGCTCCAGAGCCCACGCTGCCTCTTAGAACCGAGAGGAGTTGGAGCTTGGTGCCACGCAAACAGCGTTCTTTTCTGAAGTGCCATAAAGCATTCGAACTCCTCAGCCACTTGTCAGCTGTTGGAGGGCAGGCATGTATCTTCTTTGACATGAAATCCCACCTTGCATATTTAAAACATAGCTACAATAGGACCCTTAAAAAGTTGGTTGAATGAGTAAGTGAATGAATGAATGGATGAGGTGTCTTTGAATAGCATGTGGAGACAAATAAAAAAAAAAAGGAAATATATAGAATGCTCTATTTCTAGATATTACACACCAGCAGACTCACGTGTCTCCCACAACACATTTCTGTGCAGTTCTGTCAATCTTAGCTCTTCCGGTGCTTATTTGATAGCACGAGTTAGGAAATATGTGTTTTTCTTGCCTTGGAATTGAGAGAAGAAATAATTCACAAGAGGTAAGTGAAGTGGAAGACAGCTATTGTCCCTAATAAGTGCGTCTGTTTCTTATTGGTCTGACTACACAGGCATGCACAGAAAACCTTGGATTATATCTCATTCCGCACTTAGGGCAGTTTGTTACCTGCAGGGATAAGTGAGGTTATAGAATGGGTTGGTTCAAGGAATGTACTTGCTTGCTTGTATATGCAAATATGGCTAAATTGCTTAAAATAACAAGTTGCTTAACACCCTCAACTGAGGGAATTTGAAATGTTCAGACATCACCTGTCTTTAGGCTGCCTACAAGCATGGGGAATGAAAGATGGTTTCTTTCAATGCCAAGTTCCTTAGCCACACAATGATTTCAGAGTAGGGAAAGCGGCTGAAGTCTTGTCTCATTTTTCATTGTTTTCGGGTACGAGAGTCAGAGTCATAGTTTATTAACAGTGTCTGTGATTCAGTTGCTTTGGTTTCTAATACCACAGACAAAATGTGAGTGGGGGAGTTCCATTAACTACAAGACCATCCTTTACTCTGTAAAAGTGGACTCCGCCATTTTAGGTAGTGTGTTTCGTTTCCTGAGAAGACTGGTAGGACTGAGCTTTATTTCTGTAGCCTTTCCCCTCTGTTTTGCTGTCATCCTGGCTGTGCCACGCAAATCTGGTGGCCTTGCACCTGCTTACAACTTTTCACTGCCTCTTTCAGGCCCCTCAAGAAAAAGGACTTCTTGGCCTGATAGCCAGGATGGCTTCTTTCATCCAGTTCCTACTCCTCTGACTGACTTCAACTCAGTGGTTTTCCCTAACCCCCACCCCCCCAGCCTCCATATTCCTACTCTTCTGCACTTTTCTGTTTCTCAAATTTTCTATGATCCCCAAAGCCATTGGTCTTTGCACGTGTGGTTCCCATTGTATTGGGAACCATTGCCTTCCTTTCCCGCCTCCCAGCCCTGATCCAACTCTTTAGGCCTGACCCATTAAGAAGTCGTTGGCAGTGTCTCAAGCATTCTTTCAGCTAAGGTTGGTGCCCTCCTCAGGGCTGCTATGTTCCCCGTGCACACCTTACGGTGGTCCTCTTGAGGAGCTGGACGGCCAGCTCTGAGAGGGCGGGGACTCTCCAGGTCCTCTCTGGCGTCTCAGCACCCAGCACAGCGCCTGGTTCATGGAAGAAATGAGAAACACATAAAATAAAATAAAAAATCCATTGAGTGAATGTTCTCATTAATCTCCTGTTAACCTTCGTTTCTCCACTTTGGGTGGATCTAAATTGCAATTAGTACAGTTTGTAAATTTCATTCAAGATGAATGACAGTTTAAGTAAAATAAAAGCTGTTAGCACAATAGAAAATTTCCTCAAAATAAATTAAATTAACTCTTGAAATGGATACCACATGAACTTCATGATGATAATTTAAAGCAAAAATTTGAAAACCAGTTTCTCAGATTTTAGACCTTTAGTACTCATTCCAAGTCAATTGATTTTCAATTCTTACAGACCCTTGTCATTATATGGGAACGACCTACACAGTGATGCTGCCTCTCACCCTCTCTCTCAACTTTGCTTAGAAAGTGTGATGTGCATTTTTTTTTCTGCTGGCGTAATAGGGTAAATACATTGAGATTTGCTTCTGGTCATGCTAATACAGGACAGAAAAATTGCTAAGAAGGTCTAAAGAACTCTTCTAATGCACAATATTTATGAGCCAAAATGATTTTTTTAGAACAAAATTTTCTCTGTGCAGGGTGCACTGCGCAGTGTCCCTCCTCAGCTGTTATCAGCAGTAATAACAGTCTTACCGAAGAGAAGAGATGAGGTTTAATCATTTGGGTGTGTTCCTAATCAGACCCCAATGCTCTCCTGGATGGAGGTGAATTTGAAACTGGCACTGGGAGTTGATGAAGTTGTGGCTTTATTTTTGAGGATTTTGATGGGCTTTGATCTACTTTGTAAACTATAAATCACTGTTGGAGTTTTGCTTACCGTCTTAAACAATGTCTTCTATCATTGTGAATGTTTAGAGCCAGGGTCCTATTTGTAGATCATGTAGTTCTTATTCTGGGGCAAACTCTAATGATATTCTTGTTCAGGAAATTGAAGTCGGCCTGACCCCACTTACCAGGACTGACTTCGTGGGTCTGCTGGAAAGGCATTCAGTGGTTTACCAGGCAAGTCAGGAAACAAGAACAAAACGCAAGAAAAGGGCCTGAGATATGGAGAGTATATTGGCTTCCAAGGGCTGTCATCGACATTGTCGATGGCCTTGGTGGCTTCCAACAATAGAAACCTATGCTCTCACCATTCTGGAGGCCCGAAGTTCCACATCAAGGTGTCGGCAGGATTGGTTCCTTCCCGAGTTTCTGAGGGAGAATCGTCCCATACCTTTCTCCTCGTTTCTGCTGGTGGTCTGCAATCTTTGGTGCTTTTTGGCTTGTAGACCCATCACTGCAATCTCTGCTCTATCTGAAGACGTGGCCTTTCCCTGTGTGTGCTCCTGTGTCTGGGTCTCAGATTCCCTCTCCTTTCTCTTAGAAGGATACCAGTCATTGGATTTAGGACGCACTCTTCTGCCAATATGCAAATGTCTTATCCAGGTGACCTTAAGACCCTTAACACAGTTCCATCTGCAAGGGCCCTACTTCCAGATAAGGTCACATTCCATGGACCAGGGGCTCGGACTTGAACATATTTTCAGGGGGGACATGATTCAACCCACAACTGAGGGAGAGTTCATCTGCAATAACTCCTTCCTGCTTTGACCCTCCCAAGAGCTCTCCATATTTTGACCTCTGGA